AGTCTCCAGTTTGAAGGAAGGGTATGTGAGCTCAGGAGCAACACAAAAATGCCAAACGTCCCAAGCGCTGAATATTAAAACGCATATGAACTCAGGAATAGATACTCGCAATGCCATGAAATTACGAAGCAAACTTGAAAAGGAAAAACAAAACTTTGTTTTTTCGAGAGTTGCTTTTGCGTTCAATGTTCAAGAGAGCCAACGCCAATGCTCAGCCGAAGGCTCTCTCACCAAGAGCCGAAGGCACGGGGAGCCAATCCCCTATACTGATTGGGCAACAGGTTTTTCAGTAGTTTGAACCCTCTATAATTTGTTTGCTTAATGATTCTAACCTAGTCATTATTAACGTTTAAAAGCAACTGGGAAAACATATTTGTAACTGTTCCGCCGCGCGATGTTTTGTGTTATTATTTTTTTTTTTTTTTAAGTTTTAAGTTACCGCTCTACCCTTCGGTAGAGGGGGATTATTTGGCCTTTACAATGGGGAAATCGCCCCGTCGCTTTTGAAAAATGAGACGTAAATTTATCTACGAACTGAGCTCAAATCGGCGTTTATTGCTTGTTTATATTTAGAAAAACTCTTATAAAATGTTATTAATGTAATTTTAAATAATGGAAATAGGGAATACAAAGCTCCAAACTATCGATTGACATGTAGTTTAACTATTTCGTTTTGTCCCTATTTAGTTTGGTCCTGTTTATTTAGGGTCAGTTTTTGTAAACAATCCAATAAAAGGAAGTCATACAAAGTAGCTAGTTTTGTGTAGAATTGTTTAAAAAATCGAATACAATTATATTTGAAGAGCTGAGAGCTCTACTAGCAGGTAATATTATTCAGAATTTTAAAATTATATTCGGTATCTTTTGAAAAAGATGATGTATATTTCGGTATACTTTTGAGGGGCATGCAGTATATTTTTGAGCTGGTTCCGTGGCCACACTGACTACGTAGCCCGCGAAAATGTACAAACGATTTATAGTTGTACGCAAGTACGTGATTCCTTCAAATATTAGAATAACCGTAATTCACATAGAAGATGGCGCCCGAAGCGCATGAAAGACCGCGTGATATTGTGCGACTGTTATGCGGCATTGGCAACCATTTGCTGAAGTTGCCTAGTACCAATGTAAAGGACCCAAAAATATACGTTGTTCAACACTGGTGACGCGCGTATCTCGTTTTTACCGCGGAAAGTAGAAAATTAGCTTATTTCGTAAAATAGAGCCTAAACTCGCTTATAATAAGCAATAACCCGATCACCCGTGGTTACCCCACATCCTGATAAAAACGGCGGGACAAAAGTGGCAGTAGATCCGTATTTTTACCG